TTGCCATAATCAACAGAAAGTCTCTCCATCAGCAGGGAGGTGAAACCTGAGCCTGTGCCTCCTCCAAAGCTGTGGAAGATTAGAAATCCCTGCAGACCAGTGCACTGATCAGCCTAAAAGGGAAAATTGACTTTGGTTCATTAAAATTGCATGAGGGCTTCATAATCAATACAGATTTATAAATTCAGTATCTGAATCTTCTTGCAGTGGCTCCCCTTTTCTTTCTTTGTTTTCTATGAAAACTAAGGTTAAGCTAAAATTGCTTTTGAGAGACGTCAACCTGTTAAATGCTAAACCTCACCAGTTTACGAGTCCGGTCCAGAACCAGATCAATGACCTCCTTGCCGATGGTGTAATGCCCTCGAGCATAGTTATTGGCAGCATCCTCTTTTCCTGTGATCAGCTGCTCAGGGTGGAACAGCTGGCGGTAGGTTCCAGAACGCACCTCATCTGGACAACAAAGGAATGACACACCAATTGATTTACTGCATAAGTAATCCTAAACTTGAATCACCCTTAGCAGCTTTGTATTGAGAATTTTCCACATTATATATAATGAAGATATGGTTAATTTAATAGGAAATGTAACTAAATAATTTCATCAAAACATCCAATCTATGAAACACATCAGTTATTATTTAAATAGCACTGACCGATGACAGTGGGTTCCAGGTCGACAAAAATCGCTCTAGGAACGTGCTTTCCTGCCCCTGTATCACTGAAAAAGGTGTTGAAGGAATCATCTCCTCCTCCACTGGTTTTGTCAGAGGGCATCTGTCCATCTGGCTGGATCCCATGTTCCAAGCAATACAGCTCCCAACATGCATTGCCGATCTGAGCCCCAGCTTGGCCCACATGAATTGAGATACATTCACGCTGTGTAGGAGTGAGCAATACTGTTTGGTTACCACAAGTATCAGCTTACTTTCAACATTTCTACTTCACAGAATCTTTTAAAAACTAAATACAATTTTCCACTTTGTCTGTTATGGACTGATATCCCACACTTTAGTTTGGACCCAGTATTTCATCAATATTAAATGTTGCAATAAAGTTTTGCCTTGTTAAACTATATCTTACCATGGTTTAATTCTCTTCTCCAATGTCCAGGTATCGGTAGGAAGATGTATCACTAAAGGCAGCGGTGTTACTCAGTGCTTATATACCTGCAGCCTAAGGTGAACAGTGATTTGATCTGAGCTGTAATCAGAGAACCTACTGATGAGGCCAGGATAAGATCATCCGCTTGACTGACATAGATACAATGCATAAGGAGGTCACCACCCAAATCATTGTGCGAGTGTGTGAGTGTTTTGTTCAGGTGTGTATGTGAAAATCGGATTTCAGGAACCCCACAAGAAGGGAAGGTAACTTGATTTAGTTCCACTTGGCAGGTTCTAATGCCTGACTTTATGTTTTAGTTTCAGGAACTGTGTACTGATTTGGAAAAAGGTTGAGTTGAGGTATGGTGAAAACAATTATATTGCTTATTTTACCAATATATTATTGTCATGTTGTGGAAACCTGAAAATTGAATAATTACATTTTTATATACTTTTTGCTGAATCTTTCAACTTGATGCTTCCACTTTCATAACAAGGACTCATCTGAGCAGAGATCAGGCACAATAAGATTCCTTCTTGTTCATCTTCTGAAGAATATATGGTATTATCACACAAAATGCAAAACATTTGTCTATTTGGTAGATTTTTTACTATAAAACATGTTGCTGTATTAAATTCAAATACAGTGTTTGTCAAGCCTGCCACTTTCCCACACCCTTTTCCTAAGTTGAAATGAACAATAGGCGTAAATCCCCTGGGAGAAGAGACTCATTGAATACATGCAAATCGCCAAATAAGGCATCAGCTGACTAAATGGAACAAAGAGCAACTCCCTGAGTGGTTTCCCGACAAGCAACACAAACGTCAATCACAGAAATATAGAAGACATTAGTTTAGGCCCACTCCGGATATCTTTTTCATTCTATTCAGATTTTAAGCCCAGAAAGCCATTTAATACATAGTTCACATGTTTACAGTTCTAATCAACATGGCATTCATTCTGGTAGCATAGGGGTTGCTGCTTGCACAGTTGGAAGCAATAACCTAAGCTGTTGATATAATGACATGGCTGGAAGGCAGAACTCAAACAAGTCAAACCACTTACCAGTAGACATCCACTATAATATCAGAGTATCAACCACATGGGATTGTTGATTCAGTAAGATCAGTAACAAGGCTTCACACACAAACAATACACAACTGCCTCCTTGCTATAACCATCTTTACCTATCACAACGTGCAGAGTTTAATTAATGACTAAATTAACACTAAAATAAACTCTAAAAGAAATATGGTTGCGGTAGCCAGAAGGCTAGGAGTGATCCCATAGTGTCAACAGCACAGCTATTCATTATGAGGTTTGTTTCTCTCCTGAGGCTGTGTTCCTCATCAGTAACAAACATGGAAACTGACGTCAGTTTTATATTCTTTGAGCACTAAGCTCAAAAAGCAGTGTACTTTAAATTACATGCAATGTTATGACAAAGTTATATATTTTCACATTAGTGCTTTACATCAGCACTTGCAATATGTCTTATTACATAATGACCTGATTGTTTTCGATAAAAGCATGCATTAATTTTATAAACTGTAAACTACAATATATAGAGCAGGTTTCACTTGTGCTATATACAGGTATGCTGAAATATCAATGGGAAAGCACACACCTTGCTGCTGTTGTCTTTTGTGTGTAAACACATTTAGGTGTTGCCTGAGTCATATAAAGGTCTGACCCACTTCCATTGTTTGAGTGTATTTAAAGGTCCCCAGTGCCTCACAATGAAATCTTGGCTCATAGGAAAGAAAGAAAGAAACTGAGATAAAGAGACTCTCGAGAGATATATTATTAACAATATCAATAACAATTTAATATTTGCAAATTTATTGAACGAGCTACCACGTGGGATTTATGCCACAATACATTTGAACGTGTTCACTTCACACAGAAAGCAGAAGAGCTGAAGGTTAACATACATACTAAAGTATTTTGCAGAAGCCACTGCAGTGACTCCTTCTCACATGACTTTCACACTGTCTCACTCGGTAACTGTAGTGAAACAACTACGACCTCTAGCTTTCAAACACTTTAGTGAAGAAAACATACTCACTGAAACTGCAGTCTGAGTCTGGATTGGTTTACAGGATGTTCGTCCCACCCACCACCCACACACAAGGAAATGTACTGCATAGGCGTGACCCTGACCACAGTCTTGACTTGCAATTTGTAATTTCAACTGAAGCAGGCCTCTGGGTCTGGGCATTAATAAGTAAAAGAGGTTTCTTTAAAGAGATTGAATAGGTAGGATTTCATAGGATGGATTTAAACATCAATACAAGGCAGTAAGTAAAGTGTAGTATAATGCACTGACAAAAAGCAAGGGTGATTATGGACTACATTTACAAATGAGTTGCTTTTTCCATGCGTTGCTATTGCGCTGACTCTGGCCTTAACTGTGCATGAGGGCAGTGTTCATTTCTGGATAATAGGACAATTTATTTACAGTTTATGTGCAGTTTTATGCCAGGAATATATAAAGGTTTTGTACATTTACTGGTTTAGTGTTCTGTGTTTTAAAGGCAAAGTTCACCCCAAAAAATTATAATTCACTGATTATCTACTCATCACTATGGTGATAGAGAGGCGGGCGAGTGTTTGAGTGCACAAAACAATTTTGGAGTTTCGGGTGTAGACAGCGTTGCAGCAGAATCCAATACAAATGAAGTAACTAGTAACCACTTCCTCAAATGTAAAAAAGCAACAGAAAAAAACACAACACAACTCCATACTGTTGGTGTGGTGGCATTCATACCCATAAACCTCAACATTCAAATTTGGCTCATAAACAGCGTCATCACACAACTGCTATGATGTCTCTGCCTGTGACTGTGACACTTTAACTTCCTGTGGTAAATAATGAACTAACTGTACATATTGCACAGTCTCTCCACTGGTGCTTATATTAATTTGCATTTTTTTTTATGTAATTTTTGTTTCCTACTTTTTTGTATATTAATACTTGCACAAATACACAACAGCAAATTCCTTGTATGTGTAAACCTGCTTGGCAATAAAACCCGATTCTGATTCACACCATGTTTTTAGCCTAAATGTCCGCTGTTATCCTCCTGCCTTAGATAATAAGTGAATTTTCATTTTTTTGCTGAACCATCCCTTTAAAGGTACAGTGTGCATAATTTAGTGATATCTCGTGTGTAAATTTGCATGTTGCAGCTGAACACCCTTTACCTCACCCTCTCCTTCCAAACATGCAAAATAACCTGTGGTAGCTTCAGTTGTCATAAAAACTCAATAGTTGTTTATTTTGTCCAGTCTGGACTAATGTTAAAAAGATGGCGGCCTCCGTAGAGAGTAATGATCGATGTAAATATAAAGTATTTAAATATAAAGGGCCTTTTCTGGGGTAAAGAAAACTACAATTCATACAATTTAGATGGCACAAACTAGTGAAAACATCATGAGGATTATTCTACATTAAGATTCTGCCATACCCTTTAGTTCCCTTTCACCTAAATCTTCCCCCCTGGACCTTTAAGCCTCTACTAAAGTAACCTATATTTTCTTGCTAGTGTCCCTGTGGTGTAAATTCACCCCAAACAACAGATGCTTCAAAAACCTTTGACCCACTCCTGTCTGCATGTGTTCTCATGCGCTTTGGATCAACTCCACTGCTTAGAATACAAAAAAAAACTGGAAGTGTGCCATGGCATGCGCACTCACAGTGCGCGTGCGCGTCCCCGTCAGATAGATGTCTAGTGGGCGTGGCCTGCAGAGTCAAATACTTGAACCGCTCCTCACTCTACCGGCACTACTCCGTCACTCCGACCACATAGACGGCCGCAGTGAGAGGACACGGGCGCAGACTTAAACTCAACCAGCTGAAGGACTTTCTACCGAGAGGCAGCAATGGTGAGTATGACTTGCAAAATAAGTTCCGCTGCAAAGTTGATCTTCCACGTGCAAACGTCCTTTGGGGCCGTATTGTTTATAGTGTGCGACATAGACAGTATTTGCATGCGCAGGGATAATGCGCCACACTGAGGGAGTGACGCAGCAGCAGCAGCAGCAGAAGACCCCCGAGACAGAAATAGACCTGTGTCTCTCAGTGTCCCTCAGTGTCTCTCAGTACAGCTGAGCTAGCTGTTAATCTGGTTTGGCAGGTGGTGATGGTTCGTCTACATTTACAACACATCAGCAGAGAGAGAAAACCAGTGATGTGCTGTAAACTCAGTTTTCAGATTAAACACAAGAGAAATGCTTGATTGTCACAAATGGCAGTCTACAGGAGTCTCTGGAACTGCCTGATCTTTAAAGGCAACACTGGGCTTAGGTGTGTAAGGAATTTAGGTGTGTCTCATAGAAAAAAAGAGTTGATTGACAAAGCAGGAAATATGTTTCCCTCCAAACAGATGTGATGCATCAAATCATATCAGTTTGAATTTGGAGGGAAGAACAAACGTGTAAGTGACTGTTCACCGTGGATCAGGCCTGTAATCAAATGTGATTATTTATAGTCAAATGGAACAAGTGAAGTTGATCTCAAATAACCTTTGATGCTAACTCTAATGTCACACACACACACACACACACTTCTCTCTAAAGTCGCAGGACACTCATTTGCATAATGCATTCCCCAGCCCCTTATCCTAAGCTTTAGCATCACAACTATAATCCTAAACCTACAGTAATTCCAACCTTAACCTTAACCCTAAAAGTCTTCACCCTCAAACAGCTCTTTGACTTTATAAGGACCAGTCAAAATGTCCTCACAGATTCAAAATGTCCTCACACCACCATACTGTTGTGTTTGCACAGTGTAGTGTAAACACAGCTTGTTAGCTCAGTCAGTAGTGCCAAACTGAAGTCATTGTGTACTGAGTAAACTATGACAGTATTCCTGCCTTCATCAAATAGTCCTGATGTATAAAATCTTGTTTCTATATCGTTCACATGCCGCTCCCACTTTGTGTGCAAGGTTATTATTATGATGCTTGTGCAGTAGTGCAAGTCAGGTT